CGGGCAAAATAGACATGTGGCGGCGGGATCATACAGATCCCGTGAGCCGCCGCGCAGTTGCTCCCCGGCACGATCAGATGCCGGGGAGAAAGCGACGAGACAGAGACGGAGGCTGCCGAACTGCGGATGTGTGAGCATGCGCAGTTCGGCCAGGGGTCTTGGATGCGCCGGTGATCCCACGGCCGCGCTTGATGTGGCCGTGCTGATAAGTCCACCTCTGTAGGTGGTTTATTTTAGATGCGGCTTTTCGCCCTAAAGGGCCGGATCGGGGACGCGTGTGCAACGTTTCCAAGATGTTGCGGTGGGATCGCGTCCGTTTGCTGCGCCCCCGATCCGTCCCTCACTCACTCTCGCTGTAAGGTTGGAATGTAATTCAATCAGCCATCTAAAAAGCCTTTGATCAATATTATCAAGCTTTCCCCAGAATCTTGATCTATCAATAGATCTATGAATAGAATCAAAGGCTAATGTAAGATCAATAAATGCAACATAAAAACATCTTCCATAGTGGATGGTATACTTCTGAATCAAAGCCCTCAGCGTAGTGATCAATTGTGCTATGTCCCTTATGAAAACCTGCTTGTTCTGGATAAAATTTGGTTCATTCTCCCTAGTCTTCTAATTTGGAGACTTTTCAGACTGCCTATGTATTCCATTTCAGTAATTGGCTACTAACCCCCCCCCCCCTCGTCATTTCAGACAGACCCATTTTAGTAACTGGCTGCTAGTGGGATTTATTTACCTTTTCATACAATCCCAGTTGTCTCCCGCTGGTGAAGAATGACTGAGGCATTGTTGATGAAAACTGCTTTTCCTGTTTTCAACTCCTTGCATTTCTGAATTGCTACGGTGTGCTGTATGAAATGCCTGCTAGTGCTTCCTGCTTTGCTGCTTTTTTCCCCACCCTTTTTCACCGTGTGTGTGATCTTCCTTGGAGGGTTTTTTTTAATGTTCCATTGGAAGTGCTATGGCACTGAAATAGGACCTCAAATCGATGCTGTAGTGGCACCATCAAGATGCCTGGACTCCACTGAGATACATGCAATCACAATTGTTGTCACCTGGAAACATCTGTCACACCAACCACTGAAGCCCAAAGCTCCCACTTAAGCCTCCTGTCCAATGAGCTACTTCTGTCCTACTTGTTTCCAGGTGACAGCAGTCACAATTGTATGTATCACAGTCTATCTCAATGGAGTCCAGTCATCTCAATGGGGTCGCTATCAATGTTCCCTCTAAGCTGTCGAGTCTTGTGAGCAGAAATTCTACTTTGTGAGCTACTGGCATTAAAATTGTGAGCAGGCGATTTGGCTGCTGCATAAATTAGTTTGCTCCGGAGCCCTCCTTCCTGAGCTAAGGCAAAAATCTGTGAGCTGGAGGCTAAAAAGCTGTGAGCTAGCTCACACTAACTCAGCTTAGAGGGAACACTGGTCGCTATTGCACTGATCTGCACCATAGCGCTCCCAATAGAACGTTTTTAAAAAACCTCCAAGGAAGATCACACATGTGGCAAAAAGGGACGGGGGGGGGGGGAAGGGGCACAGTTTGAAATTGCCATAATGCTTCAGGGACAGCTCATTAATGGAAGAAAATCACTGTGAAACCACCATCCCTGTATCGTTTTACAAGACAACGGGCCAATAATGAATACTATCCAGTTGAGTCAGTCAGTCATCTTTATTGACTTGCAGCCATATGGTTTAGAAAGGTACTGTGAAATGCCTTTTGGTTAAAAGATGACAAGTATATAACTTAGACGATACATCCAAAAGGCTGATTGAGTGATAGTTAGCAGGATCTTGTCTATTACCCTTTTTATAAGTTGGGTAGATACTTTGTTTCCAGTATACAGTTGGTATCAATTTCAGAAAAGAGTCTTGTTAATATTGGACACCACCAGTGGCCATTAAGTTTATATACCTCACGGGACACCAAATCTTCCCTGGGGGCTTCCTTTGATGAGGACAAATCCAGAATGCAATGAGTTAAAATTTCACTGAATGCAGAGGGGTGTGTGTAAGCAGCAGGGAGTTCATTAGATGGAGGTGGCTGCCCCCCAAGAATTTGCTCTTGTGAATCTTATTATTATTATCATCATCATCAACTACTGGCTGCTATATTTTTAACTGGATGCCTTCCATATTTTTTGCTCCTTGATCCTGGCATGCCAAAGATGTAACCTGAAACTAGCCAGGTATGCATTTAAAAGGAGCCCTGCACCAGAGCAAACCTTACTAGGAGCAATTGGTCTGTTTAATGTTTCTCTTTGTTCTGGGATGGGGATGCTGAAATGAAGGCCCCTCCCACTGGGTGTTCCTCCGTATTTTTAACAGGTGTGGGGTTGCTGCGCATTTAAAAGATACCCTGTGCCAGATGCACAAATCTCTCCGTGGAAGGACAAGGGCTCTTGACCTGTGGCTTGCTGCATGGGGTGCAGAGCTGAGGCCAAGCAATTTCACACAAATGGAAGAAGGTCTGCCACTAAAGGAGAGGGAGAATGACACCAGGAGCAGCACTGACATAGAACCACACCTGTTGCTCAACACTGCCTCCAACACATCAAGACAGCAGCCTGGACTACTGCATGGTTTCTCTGTGGACACTATCATGTTGAATGTGCGAGGTGTGGGAGGCTTATTAGGATGTTAGATGAACGCACTGTGTCAGTGCAGAGAGGACCTGGTAGATACGGGGGCAGAATTTTTCAAAGATGGGCAGTATTTGGCAAGGACACTCACTGCCTCTCTAACCGCCACACCATACCAAGAGTTGACAATGCAAGGGCTCCATTTCACTAATAGAGTACAATACCGGACTAGTGAGGCACAAAACTGCACGTCTTTCCAGGATTTACAGAAATTAAAAAAAAAAGATCTGGCTTACATAGTAGAGACATGGCTGGACGAAAAGGGTGTGGTATGTCTGTCCCAACTAACTGCCTGGTTATGGAGTCCTCCAGCAATCCCACATAAGTGACTGGGGAGGAAACATGGGCATTATCTTCTGTGAGTCTTTCAATTCCTGCAGACTGCAGTGCAAACTGTCACTGGGATTGACCGTATGCTCTGTACATTAGAAAGTATGGATACAATAGGCATACTGCTTGTTTATGGACCACCTAGTTCCCTGGTAGGCATCCTGTCTGAGTTAACATGCGAAAGGGGGTACAGCTCATATAGTCAACCGCAATTAAAGAATACCATATAAATTGTGAATAATGCAATAGAAGCTTATAATCCTACAAAATTACAGCATATAATTCAATTTTCTCTTTTATGCAATTCCAATTCCAGATGGACGAAATTCTCCGGAGTTAAACTTTCGTTTCGTAAGAAGAACTTCTTCCAAACATCAAAATCTCCTTCATAAAATACAATGTATAATGTTACCTCCATATACAGACAATGTACTGCAAAACTTTACATTAAACAGAATTATTAAATATCATACATACAGATGTATGTACAGATGTACAGATGATGTTACACAGGGCTCTTTTTGTAGAAAAAGCCCAGCAGGAACTCATTAGCATAATAGGCCACACCCAACAGCAGAAACTCATTAGCATATTAGGCCACATCCCTGACAGCACAGCTCATTAACACATTAGGCCGCACCCCTATGTTACCAGAAGTGTGGTTATCCAGCCACACCCACCTTTTGCTTCTTATTCTGTTCACCTTGTTTGTTGTCAAAACCCAGGGCTTTTTTTGTAGAAGGAACTCCTTTGCATGTTAGGCCACATGCCCCCTAATGTAGCCAATCCTAATGAGTTTCTGCTGTTGGGTGTGGCCTATTATGCTAATGAGTTCCTGCTGGGTGTGGCCAACTTGGGAGCCAGCCGGAACTCTGTTCCTGCCCAAAAATAGCCCTGCATACAGTAGTTGTCTCTTCTCATTCCATGGTTAAATCCATTACAATTCATCAATTTCTAAAATAAAATTATATTGTTGTCATTATTTGTGCAAAATCTACTGGGAAATACAGCGGTGAATGAAGATTACAATAACATAGTGTATACTCTTACCCTAAGGACAGAACATATTCTTGCAAGACTGAGTCTTTCCAAATAATGGGCGAACAAGTTTAATTAACTGAATTATATGCTGTAATTTTGTAAGCGTCTTTTGCATTATTTACATCTTATTTTGTATTCTTTAATTGCGGTTTACCCTGTCTGAGTTGGCAGAGGTGCTCCTGAACAGGGTGCTGGAGACACCTAGACTGATTGTTCTGGGGTATGTCAACATTCATGCAGAGGATGCCTCACCAGGGCCAGCCCAGGATTTTATAGTTCTTCGACTGCCTTGGGCAT